CGAATGAGGTTCGAAACCAGGTAAACTTAGTAAAATTTCGCACTTAGCACTATTTCTCATTTTCTTATTTAAAATAGGTAAATAAAAAAATAAAACGAAAATTAATCATCTTTCCCACCACACCCATTGCAACCTTTCCTCTTACCCATCCCCACACCTAGAAAGCCCCTATGAATCGAATCCTATACGCCTAGCACGATCCTTTCCCCTGACTATAGATATGAATTACATACTATAATTTCACTATAAAAGTTCACTTGAGTTTCAGAAAACTTGATTTAGAGAACTTCAACGTTGGATTTAATCACCTCCCGGGGAAATTGCCACAACATAGGGCCGCCTGTTTGGGAGTTATAGGTACCGGTTATGGAATTTTTTTAAATATCGAGGGGATCAATTTTAAGTGATATTTAATAGCAATTTTTAGAACCGTACAACTCATGCTTGAGAATTTATTATCGGGCATTTTCTTAAAGTTTTTAAAAGAATAAAATCAATATATGCGATATGTGAAAATAATATGAGTAAATGTTTATGTTATACCTTACGTTTCAATATGACTTCGCGTAATTTACACAATCATTTTCTACTTTGTATGGACTAATTTTTGGACTACTTATTGTTACTTTGAATAAGCTCTTGCATGACAATCAATTTCTATTGAATTATAAGATGACAAAAGATGAATAGGAAGCGTTTGGAGATAATGATCTATTTGAAAACGAGTTTCTTTTCTTTTCGTCCAAACTTCATTCTTTGTTAGGATAGATTTGAAAATAATAGTTTTAGAGATGGTAAAATAAAATAATAATAATAATAATAATTGAAAACGGCCAAAAACCTCCTATTTGATGGATTGTGAAATACAACCAAAATTAAACTACATTAGTTTTCGGTGCCCAATGTCAGCCGTGGCCCAAGGCAGTGGCCTCATTGCATTTGGCCTCATATTGTAGGGGGCCTCATCTCTTAAAAAAAAATAATAATAAATAAATTGGCACTGTGATTGATTCATACAGAAGGCATTACAAGTGATTGGGAGTTGGGACAAGGATTTGAAAAGTTTGTATACAAGCATTTTGTGATTTTGATTCTTGGCAACCTTCTCTCTCTCTATAAATACGTGTCTGTGTGTGGATATAATCCTGATCCTTAAGCATTTATGACACCATATTAAGTAAAAGTAATGAAGTTGCAAAAATAATTATTGAATTATTTAGCACTGAATCTAAAGGTAATTTACAAATCGGAGATTTAAGCTTTAATTTACATGAAGATCTTATTATGAAAGTGAAAGTACATCTTATAAATTATTTAGTTCATTTTCTTATCATCTTATGTCTTCCTTTTTTCTTTGAATTTAATTTGGATAAACGTGCTCTAATTATGTTCCATATTTTTTGAAATATTTTTAGTTTTTTAAGTGTAAGAAACATTTCTTTTTCCATTCTATCTACTAATATAAAAGTGTTAATTATTTAAATATTTACATATTGTTAGACTTGTAAAATAAATTGTGTCGAGGGGCCCCATAATAATTAAACGCCTATGACCTTTAAATTTCCAGGGCCAGCCCTGTCGGTGCTTTTTTAAAAATACCAAAATCAGTGCCCAAAAAAGTAATAAGCATTGATTTTGAGCATTGTCCTCTTCAAGAGCTTTAGGGCCTGTTTGGGAGCGATTTTTTCATCCAAAAAATTGAATTTTTGACCGTTATTTCACTATTCCAGTCGTCATATTTGATTTCTTCTTTCACAGGTGGACCCCACTTTTTCCCTAACGGTCAAAAAATCAATTCTCAAAATCACTTCCAAACAGGCTCTTAATATCAATAACAAAGAGATGACTCGCATGAATAAGAGAATCATGCATTATCAAAACTTGCCAAACACAAAGCAATAGCAAAATGAAAATTGTTAGACAAGTTATGAACATAAAAGCGGGAGACAAGAAGATATGAAGAGAAGTTATAAATAATGACCCATCCTTTTATATACAGGTAGTATCTTTTCTACATCATAAATCTTAGGCCTAGCCAAACCCCTAGGAGTGTGCTAGAGAATGCAAGCCCACATACTTTAGTGTAAATCACTTGTTAGAAATTAAGTGCTTGTTTGGTAGGAATTTTATTAATTGATTTTTTAACCGTTAGAGATAAAGTGGATCTTACCTGTAAGAGAAGAATTCAAAAATGACGATCGGAATAGTGAAATAACGATCAAAAAATTGATTTTAATTGAGTTTTAAACTGTACCAAACATGCTCTAAAATCCAAGAATCTTGATAGATTAAAACCTTTCTTTGTTGCCAAGATCCTCTATATTAAAAAATGTGGAACATACATTGATCTACTGATAACAAAGAGCGAGATTAATTACGGGTTCTTGATCTTCCTCTTCAATAAGCTTTTTTTGTATTTTTCTAATGGTGGGATGTTAGATAGAATGAG